GCACCTTCATCGGAGGCTTTGTTGGTGAAAACACAACTAGAGCATTTCTTTTCATTAGATCGAACGTTGGAAAAGGTTCCTCCGATGCTGATGACGACGACGAAAAACGTTGATTTAGAAATGCAGACATTCTAGACTCCACTCAACTCGAACTGCACTAACACTTTAGTCTTTTGGGATATAATGTTGTGAAAACATACATGTGTTTGCGGTCATATTTATAGTAAAAAAAACAGTACGTACCCTATATGATATGACTTAAATAACCTTACAACATTTATACACTCAAAATTTGCTCAACACTATATTTTTATTTTGTATTTAAACCTAAATTTATTAAACCAGTTTAAGTTTATTGTTTATTAAACATAAATTTATTAAATTAATTTGAAATTATTTTTATTTAAATCTAATTATTGTAAGTTTTTTAATTAAAAAAATAAATTTTAACATTAAACCAAATTATTTTAAATTTATTAATTCAAAAATTAATTTAAACATTTAAATCTAATTTTTTTTAAGTTTATTAATAATATTTATGTTTAAAAAAATAATAATAATTAAAAATATATAAAAAAATCGTTTTTAATTATTTAAAATATTAAATGAAATTAAAAAAATAATCAAAATATAAAAAAGGAAATGGATGGAAATGAAACCCTAGAACAATATGGCCTCGTTCGCCAATCTGATTGGCGAAATTCCTCCAAGATGGTTTCATTCGCCATTTCACCTGGCGAATTGCAGGTTTCTAATTTTCATTTGTTCCCTTTCGCCAATCTGAACGGCGACCTGCTGTTGATAAGTTAGCCATTTTGAATAATTTTTTAAAATATTGATTATAATGGTAAATAATATTTAATATATAGTTATTATAAAAAAAATTCTAAAAAACTCTCTAAATTAAACCTTAAAAAAAAATTATGGGCTTTCAAAGTTGTTGGGCCATTATACAAAGCCCCCAAAATTGTCCCAATCTGAGAAACCCAAAAACCTCAATTGAGTTTGAGAGATACCCTTTAGCGTTGTTTTGCCCTCAAACCTCTTGTGCTAAGCCAAGCGACGACGGTGGAAGTCGTATCGTCTTTCTCATCCATTCACAGTAAGCATCTCTTCATAAAATAATTTTGTTAATTAATTCAAAAACACAAACTAAGCCATGCAGAGATCTCTTCTCACCATTTTCTATTGCTTCTCCCTCTCTCTCCCCACTGTGACCCAATTGCTTCTCTTCTATAACAATTTTCAAGAATGCTCATTTGAAAAAACCCTTTTCTTTGATTTGATTAAAGATTGCATCTTTTTTCAATTGGGGTTGGTGTTTTTCTTTTTGCATGCTACCATTTATGCCCTGTGCTTTTGGTGTGTGGATACTATTCTAGTTTATGAGAGTTAGTTTCATGAAATTGAGAGGGTTGTTAGGTAAAGTTGTTCAGTTTAAGCCTTGAGAGTGAGTACACTGTTTCTTTTGAGTGTGTTTGGCTGTTTTTGTAGAAGTTAAGGTTTAGAGAGTAATGTTTGATTCACAAGATTGAAATGGGATAGTAAGGTTTTGTAATGTTGGAATTCTGGACTAGCATTTGATAGGCAATGTGAGGGTGTGTGTAAGATTTTCTTTTTATGTTGATGGTTTATGTCAAGTTCAATACAAATAAATGCACAGCTAGGTGAGGTTTGAGAAAACTGGATTTTGATAAATAGGCGAGCTTTCAATTGTGTGCTATAATGGCATGGCTGTTTGATGCCTCTGCCGCAAAGTGTTTCAGGAAGAAAAAAAACTTGTTTTATTGTTTATTTATTTATTTTTTTAAATTTATATTTTAATCTAGGTTGTTCATGTAGTGCCAAACCCCTAAAATGCTATAGCGTCATAGCGGATAGCAGGATGACTGCTATTATAAAAGTATTTAAAATGACTAAACAAAATGAAATTTCTAAATCACATCCACGTCTACCCTCATCTTCACTTTTAAGTTTCACCACATTAATATTATCTTGTTCTTCCACCTCCATTAGACAAAACTATAGCAAGTCTAGATTGATGTCTAGTAACTCCACTGCCAACCAATATCAAGGTTGTCACCAACAGGGTTTTAAATAATCTTTGTTGTTGGCCGCTGCGTCTGTTATTCGAGATTGATTTCTGTGCATGTGTTCCTCTCCCTGTGAAGGCATGTTGCCTTGCCTTCTGTGGTTTACTTAGAAGGTATGGTGCTCCTCTCTTCTGTGAAGTCATGTTGCCTCGCCCTATGATTCTATATTACTCTCGTGAACTTACCAGCTAAGTAGTCAACAACCTGGTATGGTGACAAATCACATAATAGTGACTCACTGTTATTTGAGATCTGTAGCATAGCAGTTTTCTGTAGCACCTATTGTAGTGCTTGCTTTAGCGGCCAAGATTACGGTTGGTAGTGCTTGCCAAATGCTTAAGTTTTTTTTTTTGAGTATCACGAGGGTTTAGGTCTTCTATTCTTATATAGGGGAATGAATGTTAATTTTATATTTAGCTACTTTTAGCTTTTATATGCTAAAACTTGTCTGTTTTTGGCTTCTTTTGGTATATATGATTTTTTGGTATATATTTGTATGTTTTGTTTTAGTAACTTTGTTTTATTTAATAACATTTCATGAGTTTATAGTATTAACTATTTAATATGTATAAATTATAGAGTTTAATGGGTATGTACTAACATTGTAAAATAGTTTTACACTTTCATCCAATAGGAATTCATCACATAGCCAAGTCATACAATTAGCTTAAAAATTACATTCTGATGTGGCGTGATACATGACGGTGATTGGTTGATAGTGTAAAATTATTTTACATTGTCGATGCATATCCCATTTTCTCTAAATTATAAGATAATTCAGAACAGCTATCATCCTGGTTTGTGGTGCTGGCCATTATGCATTGCTTTTTAGGGATTATAACTAACACTTACCACTCACCATTCGTCAATGTTGCTTTAAATGTGATCTTTTGCATAACGCTTACTTTCCATTCATTACACTGTTTCCTTAAAAAGTTATAGATACAATTTGTACCAATTCACATGTCTGCCCAGAAAGTCTACAACCACCTATTGCTTGTTGTTTGCCATCTTCCATCCATTTGTCAATGTTACTCAGTGTCAATACCAACATTCAATAGACATTTTCAACCAAATACAATAAAATTTGATGATTATATATCTTTCACGTTTCTTATTTTTCAACTAATTGCATTAAATGGTGGATCCTCAAATTTCTGACTGGCATTTTCCCTTCAGAATGCTGTTCTCACAAGGAAAACAGAATGTTGTAACTCAGTGAAGCATGAGTAGACGGCAGCCAAAATTTCTGATTGTCAATTACTTCGTTTGGATTACAGGAAGGAACCATCCCTAAAATCTGCAGTATTAGTTTTTCAACTTTCCTGGTAAATAAAGTTCTTCTCAAACTTTATATAGATTAGTTCTCATGATACGTGAGCAATAGAAAATAATAAAAGCTACTCATGATGTAATTCTTTGATGGGTTGAGTTGTAAGATACACCTTTCTGTTAGGCTACTTTTGGAAATCCTTTACTTCATTCCAATTCTATAAATAATTGGTGAAGGCCTTTGATTTTTTATTGCTGATCAATATTTTATGAATTTTGAGTATGAAAAAAAATAAGAGTAGTGGTAATCCTGGTATGTTATATGTTGTTATAGTGGTTTTGTGATCGGCCGCTATATTTTGTTATCTGAGATTGATAACTGTGCTTTTGTTCCTCTCCCTGTGAATGAGTGGTGCCTTCTGCGGTTTACGCATAAGTTAAACAAACATGTTGAACTTGTGTCACTCGTATAAAAAGTTCAGATGTTTTTGATGGATTTAGTTTTATAAGGGAACCAAAGGAAATTTTCCTGTAACCAATAAAAGGCGATAACAAGGGTTACTGGTAAAAGCAAGTGTGAGGAGTAGGGGAAGAGGAAGAAAGACTAAACTACGTGTTGTTGCAATTTGTACCGATTCATATCTCTGGCCAGTAGTCTACAACTACCTGTTGCTTGTCGTTTACAATCTTCTGTCTCTTCCCTATAAGATTCTCTCAGTTTGGTTGCTACATATTACTCAATATCAATACCAACATGCATGTTGAATCAAATAATATAAAATTTGATGATATGTTTTTCATGTTTGTTATTTATTAAGGAATTGCATTAATATTGTGTTTCCTCATATTTTCTGCAGTGTCAATTTTCCCTCAGAATGATGTTTACTTAAGGAAAAGAGAATTTCACAACTCGATGAAGCATAAGTAGATGGAAGTCAAAGTTGAGGATTGTCAATTACTTCCTTTTGATTATTACAAGAAGGACCCATCCCTAAAATTTGCTCTATAAATCATTCAATTTTTCTGGTAAAGAAAGTTCATCTTAAAATTTATGTAGATTAGTTGTCAAGATATGTAAGCAATAAAAAAACAATAACAACAACTCATGCTGTTATTCCTTCGATGATTTGAAAGATACGAACTTCTATCAAAATATACTTTTGGAAATTCGTTAATTTATTCCAATTCTATAAGTAGTTAGTTTGCTTCATAAGTTTCAACATACCATATACATTCAACGGGTGGCTTATGACTTTGGGGGCTATTAATACTTAAAATTAGTGTTGTCAATTGCGGATTGTAGAAAATTATGATTTGTTTGGATTCTACTTCTCCACAATGCTATAGCGCATATATAGCTGCAATAGTGACTTAATCAAATTCCACGGCGCTTTAGCGCTGCTGTGGCTCCTATTTGACAACCATGCTTAGAATCTGTAGACATTTTTCCTTTTGATGGTTTGGCAATTTTTCTTATCGTTTTTATTGTTTTGTTCTTTTAAGAGTTTGCATTACCCTCGTCCATCGCATTGTCCCTTCCTTTTTGATAAGTTTCTTTTAGAAAACAAAATCAGAAAAAAAAATTCAAGCTTCTGTTTTTCATGTAACATTTTTCTTATATTTTAGTTGTCAGTAATGGAAGTGGGAGCAGTGGACCCTTACACAACAAATCCAGGTCCAATTGATGGTTCAGTTCTATATGATCAAGACAAGCATGTATCATCGGCAGTTTGGGAAGGGCAGGTGCATTTTGCTAACTGCCACTACTTTCCGCATCACTATATATTTCATTTCTTTTCTGAAAATTCTTTTCATATATTGACTATTTGTTTAATTGTTCTCGTTAATTCATTACATTAGCAGGAGCGCGGTGCCCTCAGATGTCACGAACACACTTCAAAACTTGATCAGTGGACACTTACACCGAAACAGATTGAATTGGTAGACAAGGCTGGATTTGGATACTTACGGTCAATTCCAGCTATTAGTCTAGACAATCCACTTATCTCTGCTCTAGTTGAAAGATGGAGAAGGGAAACAAACACTTTTCACTTGAATGTCGGTGAAATGACAGTAACCCTTAAAGATGTCGCACTCTTGCTTGGGCTGGCAATTGATGGGGAACCTGTTATAGGCCTGACATATACCTCATGCAGTTCCGTTTGTGAAAAGTATCTTGGCCGAGCACCCGAATCGGGTTACACAAGTGGTGGGATGGTGAAGCTAAGTTGGTTGAAGGAGTTCTTTTCTCGATGTCCTGATGATGCTCCGATTGAAGTGATCGAGCAACATACTCGTGCTTATCTTCTTTATCTTGTAGGCAGCACCATATTCTCCACAACTACAGGGAATAAGGTCCCTGTAATGTATTTGCCGTTGTTTGAGAATTTTGTTAGATGTGGACAATATGCTTGGGGCTCGGCAGCTTTGTCATTCTTGTATAGAGCACTAGGAAATGCATCGCTAAGAACTCAAAGCACCATTAGTGGCTGTTTAACACTACTGCAGGTTGTAGTCCTCTTCATCATTTTCTTTTGAACTGTAGTTTTTCTTACTTATCAGATTGAAGGCGTGTTATGTAACATGTGTCAGGTGTCGTGGACACGACACTAATACATGTAGTTACTTGAATTATTTACGTTTTCTCAATTTAATATTGGTGTCATTGTTTGTTCGGTGTTCGTGTATGTGTTATTGTGCTTCACAGGATTTAACCGATTATTATGCATTTGCAGTGTTGGAGTTACTTTCACCTAAATGTTGGACGACCAAAGCTCAATCTCGATGTGATGACGCATGATCGATTTCCATTTGTGCTTAGATGGAAAGGAAAACAAAGTGGCCCAACTGCAAATCGCGACGTGGTATTTTATCGGAAAGCTTTGGATTCCCTAAAACCATGTGATGTAAGTCTTATTTTCATTCTCATGTTTAAAGTAGGCGTGATAATATTCTATATATATTTTTAAGATATAGAATCCGGTTTTACTAGTATAGATCTACAGGTGGAGTGGCTTCCCTACAGAAACATGGACAGTATGGTAATTCCAGATCATATCAAAAGCACTTTAATTCTTGGGAGGTCAAAGACAATGCTAATATGCTTTGACAAGGCGGAAAGACATCTTCCAAATCGGTGCTTAAGGCAATATGGCATGCTTCAATCAATTCCGGATGATGTGGAGCGATGGGAGAGGAAGAGTAGAGGAGTTGACGGTGGGGTTGATTTGTCCGGAAAAATGGAATCAGAGCTTACAGAGTGGATGGACCGTCAGCTGCACATTGTCGACGGGGACGAGGGTGTTGATGAAAGTGAGTACATGGATTGGTATATGAGGATTACCCGCAAGTTCATAGGGAGGCCTATTTCTCTGTCATCCGAGTTTCAGAGAACGGTAAGGATATATGTTTCGCGAGTTAAGTTTTATGTATCATGTAGCAATTGTAGATTAAGTTTTAAATGCTTTTTTTATAGAAAATAAACAAATCCTTGCAGAATGCCGGTCTGAGGGACATTGCACACATAGCCGATACTTTTTCAACCAAAGGGTTAGATCCGCAGCAAATAGAATCAATATCTCGGATAAGATATATTGCACATGAATGTTTGAGAGACCAAATCAGTGGTCCAACAATAGTAACAGCCACCCCTCAAGCTGAACATGGAAAAAGAGTAAGGGGAAAGGAAAGGGTCAGAAGAAAAGGTGGGGCGGGTAAACGATTGCGGAAGGATGGTGTGATTCAATATAATGTCATCAGTGAGGAGGACGAACAGCCTCACTTCTATGGCACCACTATTGAGGTTGGCCAATTGCATCTAAGTCACATGGATAGAGAGATGGAGCATCATGCACAATTATGTACTGTGGAAAATGCAGTAAGTTCTGTGCATATGCTTCACACAGATGCTGAGAATATGCACCTCTGCGACACACACCTTGGGGTCGATCAATCTGAGCTAGGCTATGAAGATGACGAAAACGACGATTTTAACCATGATGATCTAAAGCAAGAAGCTGATGAGGAAATAAAAGAGGAGTTTAACCATATGACTTCTGAGCAAAATATTGAGGAGTTGCACGCAGGGAATGAGATCGATCAAGATCTACGACCGTGTGATCATATTGTGATCGATGATTCACAATTCTGTGATGTAAGTCACGAGATCAACAATGCAACACTTTCAGATGACGCGGATGAAGTCAATCACACACATTTTGGTGATCCCGATGAAGTTGATCTACAAGAAATTAATCCAACCGAAGATTTTGTTAATTCTCAACTCTCGCATGTTAACGATGAAAGGGAACCACCATCATCTGCAATGACAGCAATAGAAGTGTCTCAACATTCTTCAATTGAACCTCATGGTGATATTTCCCAGAAAGGCGATTGTAGTGTTGCTGTATAGATTGCATAGCTTACATTTATTTGTAGAGAAGCAAAATATAAAAATTTAGGCAGACTTAATTTTTATGAGAAGTGATCATGCCATGTATAATTATTTATATTCATTTTTTGAGCCTAACTTGCATTTTGGATCATTAGTAATAGTCACTCTCTATTAAACAAGGTCTATAAGGAGAAAACAACACACTCATATCATTGACATCAATTCAGCATTTTCAATGCTTTTTTCCTGTCATTTTATTTTAAGCTATTTTACTTTTCTTCCATTATAGCAAAAAAGATTAATGTGTAAAAAATATTTGCATATACATTAGGTAAAAAACATACAATGTAGGCTCAAAATGTCCTATAATTTTTTTTTTTATAAAATGAATCAAATTGGCTCTCATAGGTTATAAATAGATTGAAAGAACACTTTGAAGTTGCATTAAAAAGAGTTTTGACACTATTTAACAAACAAAGCCTATAAGGGGAAGACAACACACATATCACTAACATCAACTTAAAGTATTTCTAATGCTTTTTTCTTATCATTTTATTTTAACCTTTTCATCCATCTTAAGAAAAAGACTAATATGTGTCAAAAATATGAATACTTTATTCTAAGGTGCATAGGAGATGATGATTGAAAACGTTATTTTCAAAAGTTAATGTAGTTGTCTGTTTGATTAAGCAGAGACATTTTTTTTTCTTTGTATCAAGTGTGAACATGATTTATTTTGCCACTCAACTGAGACTTTCACGTCGCTAGATTATAATTCACAAATATCTCACAAATATCTAAAACAGAGTCAGGATAAATCTATAACTGTAATTTCTGATCATCAAGTTGAGATTGAAAAGAATCGCCAATGACCTTGAGGAGAGAAGCATGAAAGAATGGATGAATTTTACTATAAAATGGAAGTTCCAATTTGAAAGTATCAACACTCACCTTTTTTAACATTTGGAAAGGACCATAACATCGAGTGGAGGATTTTTCATTAATCCTTTTAGTCAAGGACCTTCTTCTGTAAGGTTGCATCTTCAGGAACACTCAATCACTGATTGCATATTATATATCTCAGCGGTGTTTTGTTAGGATTCGGACACATGACATCTTGGGACTTTAACAGATTCTCTCTTAGAGTAGTCAACAATCATCTCGAGCAATTGTAAGTTTGTTGACGTCTTCAAGGCGGGAAGGAATGGTGGATCCCTTAATAATGTGATGGGTATCATGTCCATACAACGCTATGAAAGGGGACATTTTGCTTGAAGCGTTTTAATTGGCGTTAAACCAAAATTTTGTTGCTTTAAAAAGAGGTTTCAAGAAATTGCTTAAAAATAAAGGATCGCGATCTAACAGACCGAAATCAATGCATCTTACAATTTCATGTAGAAAAATGGAAACAACATCGGTGGCGGTGTAGGTATGTTCTAATGACATGAATTGGGCATATTTGACGAGCCGTTAAACAACCACCATGAATGTATCCTTCCCCATGAATTTGGGATGTCCTTCAATAAAGTTTATAGAAATATTTGTCCATACTTGTGTAGGAATTGATAATGGCTGTAACAATCCTGCTGGAGAAAAGTTGTTGCTTTGATTTCTTTTACAGACTTCGCAAGCAAAAACAAAATTTTTATGTCAGCTTTCATCACTTCCCAACAAACTAGACTTGTTATTATTTTATAAGTCCTGAAGATTCCTGAGTGTCCTCCTACAAAGGATGAATGAAATTATTTTAAAATGATTAGAATCTAGTAGGGAGATTTGGAAGACACAAATTTCTCCTTATAAAATAACTTACAACCCTCAATGCATAGCTAACATGAGACGTGGGATCAATAAGTCTTGAATTATTTTCTATAACTTGCCATCTCGTTTGATCTCTTCAGCACATTCCTCGAAATTATGAATTCGTAAGACTGTCATAGCATAATGAGAACTTCTCTTGCATAGTGCATCAACGGCAAAATTCTCCTTCTCTAGTTTGAATTATATTTCAAAGTCATATACTGCCAATTTGGAAATTCATCTGTATTGTTCCTCGCCGATCATCCTCTGAACTATCAAAATTTTCAAATTTGTCAGTTTTAATAATAAAATGGTTTCCTAACAAGTAGTGTCGCCATTCTGGACTGCTTTTACGACTGCCATCAACTCACAATCATATATCGATTTCCTCTGGTTCCTTTTTGATAGGGCAGTACTCCAAAAGTCTACGAGTATTCCTTATTGCATTAGAAGATCCCTTAATCTAGTTTCGTGAGCATTAGTTTCAATCACAAAAAGCTTTGAAAACTTAGGTACTACTAATGTAGGAAAAATGGTCATGACTTGCTTAAGTTATTCAAAGGAAGTTTGCGCTTCTGGACTCCATTGGAAGGCATTTTTCTTAAACATGTTGGTCAATGGCCTTACTATTCTTCCATAATCATGAATGAAGCTCCTATAATAACCAGTAAGGCCTAAGAATCCCCTTAAGCTGATGACATCCTTGGGTAGAGGCCATAGCGTAATTGCCTCCAACTTCTTAGGATATGCACATACTTCTCTAACATAAGTAACATGTCTTAGATATTCCAAGTTATTTTGACCAAAGGAACATTTGCCATACCCTAATTTTTATCCCTAAGATCCCATCTCTTTTTGCATCATCTGCATAGCCTATCATGTTTCATCTCGCATAATGCCCAAATTATCAGTTGGAATAAACTTGTTGAATTTACAACCGAATCGGTCAAACTAAAAGTCAACTGTGCGTAAAATCAGTGGACATAAAATTTCAAAGTCGAGCTTGCAAACGTCAGTGATATTAATCTATGTTTCACATAGTTTAATATGGCGTGCTCGATTTAATTTTTCGGCTGCTTTTCGGTCGCATTTTGATCAGTTCGAGCCTTTTAACCAGAGACAATTTATTTTGAAATTTGACCAAAATGTCGCATTTTTTTGAGTCGTTTATTTCGTGCTGATCATTTTGGTGTATTCATTTTATCATTTTGAACACTTTAATTTCGACCCGATTTTACGTATTTAACCGGTTTTATTCCTATTTTTAATTGATAATCTTTGTTTAGTCACTACAAGAAATATTGCAGTTTCCCAAGTGATATTCACGTCACTAACATAAAAACCACTTCACTAACAGAATTTGCGACGTGGATAAAACACGCCGGTAATGCAATAGTGGGAACTTTTTCCCACGTGGTAAACACGTCACAAAGTTGTGACATGTTAACCACGTCGCAAACAACAAAATAAAGAGGAAATGTTCCCACGTGAAAAACAGGTCACTAATTAGCGACGTGAAAATCATGTGGGAACATTATTTTACCAACTTTGGTTGCACGCTTTCCCGACACAAGTATACTTTATTACCCATGGGATATCCACGTCACAAAGTTGTGACTTTGTTTTCACGTGGGAAACCACATTGAATTAATATTCTTCCCATGTGATTCTCACGTCACTAATTAGTGACATGGGATTCACTTCACTATTAAATCTAATTATAAAAAAAAAATATATTAACTGAAAGCTTCTATAAAATTAAAATATAAATTAAATATTAAATATAAATTTAAAATTAAAATAAATTTTAATTAAAATAATATACATTTAAAATATATAAATATTTAGTTACATGAAATTCACGTCACAAATACAAATAATAATAATAAAAGTTGTGACGTAATATTCACGTCACAAATAAAAATACTAATAAAAAAAATTATTCTTCGCCACTAAATAATTCATCTTCGTTTTGGTCATCATCTCCGGGAGAATAACTCGATCTCGAGGCAAAATATTTTCGCATTTGTGCCTCCATGTCTGATTGTCGCTTCCTCATTTCCTCTATTTCAGCATTTTGTCTATTTCTCATATCATCCATTTCGGCCTTTAGGGCCGCCTCACGTGTCTCCGCCTCTCGTCTCGCCTCAGCTAGAGCTAACTGTCTCACTGTTGCCAACATTTCTGGTGTCAATTCTGCTGGACGCGATCCTCCTTCCCCATCATCGAGTCTTTGAAATAAAGTTCGGTCCCCTTTTCTATAATCACCAGCCAAAGACCCCAGACCAAAAAAACATCCATTAACTCTCTTCCCGCCTACTGTTAAATTCCAAATATAAAGATCAACGCGCGGATCAAGCGGTGCATCCCCAATCGGCGTATATTGAGGATTTTCAGTTAGAAATTGGGCAAGCAATGTCTGGTACAACTCCTACACACACATTAAAAAAAATTAAATTAAATATAATTTAAATAATTTAATTATATAGTAATTATGAAATTAAAAGAATTCTACTAAAATAAACAAGTTACCAAGGTTGATTTGGAACGACCGTCAACAAAGTCGCCCGATTTTTTGGTTCGAGTCTTCACAAATAGCTCATTAATTTGTGGCTCCCTCCCCAAGTCCTTTTTCTAATTAAAATAATGAAGCTTAATTAAATATATATAATAATACAAAAAAAAAACTTTAAAAAATAGTTATAATTACCATTCGTCGACGATGTTCGCCGATACTGATACTTCCAACTGTATTAAGACAACCACCTGCTTCAGATGCCCTCATCTTTTTAGCATGTTCAGATCTTCTCTGAAAATCTTCTGTCTTCCACCACTCAACAAGTTCACCAAATATTTCCTCGCCTATCCAGTTAGGACGAGTGTGATCTCTTTCCCAACGTTGTCTAGCATTCCTAAGCATGTCAGATAATCTGCTAGATACCTTACTTTTGAATTTTTTTTTAATTTTGAACTCGTCAAATTTCTGCCAAGTACACCTTTCCTGCAAGTTATATGACAGTCAAATAAAATGTTAGATATATATAACAAAAAATCGTTATAAAATAACATAACTATAATAAAAATACAATTTACCTTGAACTTATCAAACCATATATCTTTCTCCTCATCTGGGAGCTCTTCGAAAGACTTAATGAGTTTTTTATACATCAATTGAATGACCCAGTTTACAGCTTTAGCAGCAGGACGATACGAATCAA